TTTTTTTTCTCAGTGTAAGTATATTTATATAAGTAGGTTTTTGCCTCATTAACAATCATGGTTGAAAAATTTCTTTAAAAAAAAAAAATAGTGAATGTAATTCTAAAGAAATTTTTTTAAAATGTAAAAAAATAAGAAAAAGTGAATCCTTCAAAATTTATACCTCTAGATTTAACTTCTTATAATCGATAATAAAGCTAGGATCCGCGGCCGCCCGCGCCAACAGTTTCCGGATCTTTTTATTTTCCCGGTTCCTGACGTGTTTCGTCCAGTACTTAGAACGCTTTGCTGGGGTTGTTTCCATACTTGTTGTGTGCGAAGGAAAAGATGTCTATTCTCGATAACCGAGTGATGCACAACCTTCTGTCTGCCGGGGAAGACCTGGCTGGAAAAGTGGGCCCGGAGATCCGCTCGGTCACGGTGGTGTTGATTGATGCACAAACACACACCACACGTCGGTTGTCCGCACGAGTAATTCTTAAGTTATATAAGTATAACTCCTTGCACTGCACAACGCTCGGAAAACTGTGAGGATAGACTGATCGAGTTTGGTATGTCGATACGACAGAGCGGTCTGAAGGCAGAAGGTTTAGGATCGAGAGGCGAAGATGAACTGATTTTTCCGAGGGCGGATTTCGCGTATGTCGAATCTTGGCGTCTTTTCGCATACCCTCTCCATTAGGCGAGCAATATTCTTTTTTAACGAATCAATCTTTAAAATGGTGCCCCTCTCATGAGTTAAGGGCGTCTCCTTTCCAAAAGAAGGTCCAGGAGATTGCGCCTATTGATGTAGGCTTTTGTTTTTAAAAATTAAGTCTCGCCCATTGGAGAGTTCGCCTTGATCGGCCAAGTTGACAGTTTTATTGTTCACTTGAGTTTTATCTTAAACAGATAACGCGCAAGGGTGGTCTAGCAGGCGAGCTAGGCTTTTGTTTTTAAAAATTAAGTCTCGCCCACTGGAGAGTCCGCCATGATCGGCCAAGTTGACAGTTTTATTGTTCACTTGAGTTTTATCTCAAACAGATAACGCGCAAGGATGGTCTAGCAGGCGAGCACGTGGTGTCGAATGTCGCGAGTTTCAGTCGCGGATCATAATTACGTAAATAAGATATCGCTCTAATTCTTAGAAGGGCCTTTATTCGAGAATCTTCTCATACCGCGTTTTCACTAGCGGACTTTCAAGAAAAATATTATTTGATCCATTTGTTTGTCTCTTGCGCACTGTTTAGATTTCGAGCCTTCTCACGGTTCGAGTATCCTTTAGTTACTGTTTAAAATTCCTGGTCTTTTAGCGGACTCTTGTGTTCGAATATTTATCGCGCATAGTTTAGATTCTGATATATTAGTCTCGCCTGCTAGATATTCTTTTAGTTTATTGTTTATGTCAAGTGCAAAGAGTTCCAGAGCGTAGGCGTTTAATATTACGTGAAAGAAAATAATCGTGGAGTCCACCGGACGTAACACAGATCTCTGTCAAATTATTTGACAAGCACGCTGGATTCGGTCACGTAATTCTTCTAAGTCATTTATCAGCGAGAAATACACTATGCTTTTCAAATATCCCCATAAAAAAAGTCGAATGGATTTAGAAACCTTTTTTAAAAAGGATATATATATATTCTTTTTAAAAAAATTAATATATAATTGAATAATATTTAAAATACTATAATTAAATTTAATTAATGATATTAAGCAAATATTATTATCTAATGTTGTATTCCTTCTCCTTTTTCCTTCTGTCTCTTTCTCTCTCTCCCTTTCTTTTGCTTATTCTTTATCTTCTTTAATTTTAAATAAAGCTTCCTTATTTTTTTTTACTTTAAATAAAATGTTTATATTTATATTGTCTATACATAATATACATTGGAATATAAATTTATAAAGTATAAAAAAAATAGTATACATCTTTCATATCATATTTTAATATACATATGTAGTGTACTCAAAAAGTTCGTGTATTTTAATGATAAAATTTTTATTTTTAATTATTTGGGCACAGCAATTTTATCTCCCCAAAATACTCCCCCTTCGTCGTTATGTACTTGTGTCAACACGATTTCCATTGTTAGAAGGAGTGTTGCAGGTCCTCATTAGATAGGCTTTTCAGAAGCCTCGTCGATCCTCGTTTCATAGTCTCCACGTCCCCGGAATGTTCACCCCCATGATTATTTTAATTTTTGGAAATAGAAAAAAGTCACACGGGCCTAAATCGGGTGAATAGGGAGGGTGGTCCATGACAGTGATGTTATTTTGACCGATAAACTCGCGCACAATGAGCGCCGTGTGCGAAGGCGCGTTATCCTGGTGCAAGATCCAGCGATAGACTGTACACAACATTTCATGAATTTTTGACCCGTTCTTCCCGAGTTTAACAACGAATTTCACGTTTGTTTTTTGTTCTTTTAAATTACTGTTATTCATTTTTGCAAAATCCCGGCGATGCACAACTTCGAGACTTTCGAGTATCGATGTAACATGCCTTTTTTAGAGAGGGATATCATGGCTAAATTTATTAATTCTTAATTATCTGTCTAACGAATGGCATCTCGTATGTGAACTATATCGGAATGCATTATTGTCAAAAAAGTGCCTTGAAATATTCACTTTTAATAGCTTTAAAGTATATAGACTATGCGAATGGAAAAATGTTATATATATATTACGAAGATATGATATGGATATATTATTTAATTTAAGAATAAATCTTTTGCTAATATATAAAGATCTTATATATCATAACACTGATTTTTACATGAATATAAAATTAACGAATTGTTTAAAATAAGATGTGTTAATGTGTTTCTTTTCCTTAGTTGGAAAAAAAAAGATACGAAACAAGAGATATCTGTAATAGTAGATAGTATGAAAATATATATAATTTATTTATATCTAAAATACTGCGAGCAATTTGCCAATTGTCTCAAAAGCAAAATTTAGTAACATTATAGTTGAGCTAAAAATGCTTATATATTCGATAAGACATCAGCTAATTATAATACTTAATCAGTTTAACATAGGAAAAAATGGCAATAAGAACCAAGCGTGGTATGTAGGGCACATACATGTTTTATTATGAATACGACATTATTGTTAATATAAAAACCAATACGATAAAATGTGAAATTGCGAAAGGTGGACGTTTCAGTCCTTTTTTTGGGCCATCTTCGGCGCAAAAAAATTAGTAATAAAAATTAGCTTAAACGTAGGTTAAAAATCGCAGAGTGTAATGCCCGGTTTCTTCACACTTCCCGATAGCTATCCTCCAGATAAAGGTGTCCGTCAGATGATCCGATTCGTCGATTCCGCGAGATATCTGCCGGATAAAGTTATCGGGAGGTGAAGAAACCGGGCATTAATCGATTATACAAAATAAAAAATGTGGTCGCAGATATAAAAATCAAAACCGAGATCTCTCACATCATCGTAGTAATGAAGAAAATATAGTTTTCGATGTATTTATATCGTTAAGATAATGAATAACTCCTCGATTGGTAGGCCGGAAATTAGAAAATCCAAGATAAATATGGTCATGATGATACGTTACAATTTTAAATATATCTGTAAAATAAGCGGAGCGATTGATGCAGGAAAATGATGTGAGAGAACAAAATATATTATTATATTTTTTTAGAATACTTAAGATATAGAATATCCTGTTGTTAAAACAAGAATCAAAATTGACATTCAGCATTTTAATAATGATAAAAATATTTTGCGGTATTATAATTATTAGTACACTGAGAAAAAAAAGTTCAATACGTATAATTATTATATATTTATTATATAAAAAAATATATATGTATATAACATTATTATATATATAAATTTGTGTTTTTCAGGTTGTATAATATGTATTATTTATCCTAATAAATGTTTTCACATAAGATATGACAATTGTATGAATGTATATAATTACATGATACATTATTAGTTCGTAAAATAATTATTATGTAAAAAATTCGATAAAGATTATGAAAATTATAATCTCTTAATAGACTGCCGAATAGAATTAAGCATATTAAAGGACATCCACGCAGCAATTTTGCGATAACTCGATCGAATTTTCGTACGAGCGATTGTCCCGGGTACAAGGCCATGTTGCACAGTTATGAATGACGTGGTTGCGAAGTGGGGAGAGCGTGCACCAGAGTTGACCGAACCAGGACTGTACGAAGCCAAACCATCACCCTCTGCAAATTTTTAGTAAATCGGATAAGTGATATATAGTCAAAAAAACATATAATATTCTTCAACAAATTGGAAGAACTCTTGTCATTTGAAAAAAGGAATAGTTTAAAGTTATAAGAATTATAAAATATTGAAAAACCAAGATGCTTTAAGATTAATTAAGCGCGAATAATGACGAAGAAAAGTTGCAAGAGAAAGTGAAATAAATTATTGACAGGTGTAATAATGATGTAATTGATACCTTATATTTTAGCTTCATGCATTACGAGTACTATCTATTGTCTTTCTGTTCCTTTTTATTTCGTAAAGAGAAAAGAAGAGATCGTTGTTTGGGAAGAGATATAAGTGTTTTCCAGTAAAGTACACAGATGACACAGTATTACACAATTGGCTATCAAATACAGAATTTTAAATTTCTTTATTTAACAGCCAATCATGTGCTATAGAAAGCGAAGATGCTGAGTGCAAAAAGTTCGCGTTGCTTGAACTTTTTGCACTCAGCATCTTCGCTTTCAATCTCTTCAACATCCGAATATATATTTATCTCGTTTTCAGTGCAAAAATTTTTGGGAATTTCAAGCAACGCGAACAAATCTTATGTGTCATCTGTGTACTTTGCTGGAAAACACCCATTCATTTAATTTATCGTTGGTCGCCCCTGAGCATGTGGCGCGCGATTGGTGCGTCAATGGAAAGATCGGGCACTTTCGGGAGCACACGACCATCTCCGTGATCCCACCACCGCGAGTGCCTCTCCCATCGAGGTCGGGGGCGATTCGCAGATCTGCGGTAGTGTAGTGGTCGGTCAGTCGACGTTCATAAATGATGACGTAAGGTCGCGGCTCGTGGCGAGTCTGGCGATTCGCGGTACGTGGTAACGGCCTGTCAGTGAACCTCGGACGAAGATGGGGACGCAGAAGCCCGGAGAATGGGCGAATTTGGTGCTCGCGCGTTTCGAGGATCAGGTGCGGGAATGGTGACGATGAGGAGTGTCGTTTCTCTCCTTTCAGTTCCTGGTTCCGTCGAGCTCGCCCTCTCTCTCTCTCTCTTTCTTTCTCTTTCTCCTCCTCCTCCTCTCTCGGTCTCCGTATCGCTACCCTCTTCCGGTATGGCCACCTCCTCCCCCTAATGTCACATCCACGATGCACGGGTGTGATTCGCCTCGACTCTTCGTTTCCGCCTTTCTCGGTCTCTCTCTCTCTCTCTCTCTCTCTTTCTCTCTTTCTCTCTCTCTTTCTCCATTCTCCGAATATCGAATTTCGAGTTTTCTCGCCACTCGGTGCGCAGGGTAGATTTCGCGCGGGCGGACAGGTGGACCAGCTTATGGATCAACGACTGCGAGGACGATGCTCGTGTGGGTGCGATTGACAGCCGGTTGCATCGGTCGCGAAAATCGGTTGGCGTCAACCCGTAATACGGAATTTGAATTTGAAGGAGAATATATAAAAACTCAACAAACAGGAACAGGCTGTCCTAACATAAGAAACGTACATATTTCGAGAACCTTGACGATTATTCTATCGCCCGATCAACAAGAATTGTCCTACAGAAGTCCTTGGTATTTTCGGGCAACGAAATAAACTTCCAAGCTATTCCCAAGACCATTGTTACACAGACGCGAAGAACGCAAAAACTGTTTATGCCAGTATAGATTTCTCAGGATGTTTATTTCACTTCATCCTTGTTTGAGTTCACGCCGCTCACAAGAGATAGATAGATTGTATCGCGTGTGATTTTTCGATATAAAAATTGAATTTTATTAAAAAAAGATTAATTAATTTTGACTTAGATTCGATTTTACAATTGACACAGATTGGGGGCGCATTGATCTGTCTAATTGAGATATTATTGATAAATCCTTAGCTTATCTTTTAAAATCTGTGAATTTAATACGATAGAGAACTCTTCGTCTTTATTATCATATTACATTGTTTCAGTATCAATCGCATTGTGATCTAAATTAAAATGTGTTCCGAGACGCGATTTGCGTGAATGAATCGAACTATCCCGTATTTCGATTGGTTACACAACCCTTTTCTTTGGGAGAAAATCGGACATCTCGCATTTATAAATTGGGGTCAATGCGTATCAACAAAGAGAGCGATCACCCCAATCCCCGAGAATGCGATGTCGTTCCTTCCCTCCTTGATTCGTTCATTCATGAAAAGATACATTCTTGCAAAGATGGCCCCCTCCTTCCCCAACTTCCCTCATGCGGTTTGACCTTCGCCCTCCTCTCCCCCTCCTCCCCTTCTGGAAAGTCAACCTTGCTGTGAGAGCAGCTCAATCAAGGTGTATGTACAGTAACGTATCTAAGGAGGGTACGAGGGTACGGATATACATAAATATCGATACGCGAGCGCGATCCTCAAACCTATTTCCATATCTCGCGTGAATTTTATTATTCCACGCTATTGATTATCAGTCGTTGAGATTGAGATTTTGCAATTGAAATAAAAGATTTCTACTTTTTAATTGGAATCTTGAAATTGTTTGTAAATATTTGTTTCGCGATAGTTATCAAATAGCTAACGTATCTCGCAAAAGACTCTTCGTTCTCTTTCTCTCTCTCTCTCTCTCTCTCTCTGAATTCTGTCCCCACCCGCTCTCGCGACGCCTCTCGTTCATGAGTATCATTCATGAATGAAAGTCGCTTTACGCACTTCAGCTTACCCGCATATTGCGCGATACGTCGAATAAAAAGGAATAAAACCGGAATCGATTGCGTCGCACGAGCGTATAAATTGACGTTTCCTGATGTCGGGGCAATTCGTCGCCACTATTATTTCGAGCGCGCGCATATTTCACCCTTAATGCCTCTTTTATGCACGTCTATTTTTTCCTCTCTATCCCATGTAACAAAATAATTACTGTTCCTGCGGGAGAAATGAATGAATTCATCCACCAGATATTACTCACTCTTGCGATTTTATCTTTCTCTCTCTTACAACTCGTTTATTTATTTGCTTGTTATTAATATATATTTCCCTAAAACTGATTCTTCTCTTGAATTTTTGTAGTTGCCGTGTCGTTCCGGTCCCGAAAGTCCTCACTCACGAGTGAACGAGAAGAGGAATAAGAAATGTTTGATAGAGATCTCTCGGTACCGTTTCTCCCTCGTTATATCCGGCCTTACAAAGATGCTGCAGCGCGTCAACGAGCTGACACCGAGCACAAGCGGTCAGCGACCGTTCCACACCATGGATCAGGATCGGCAAGAATCCATCATCATCGTCCTGGACACGTTGGAGAAATGCCTGGCGAACACACCAAAGGACACAACAAAATTCGAGGAGGCCATGAACATAAAACTACTGCTCCGAGAAATATGCCAGTTTATAGGTGAGCGAAATACAACAAGGGTATCCAACGGCTTAGACTTTGGATTTTCATAAGCACAATTAATTGTAATATCTTATACAGGAATACCATCAGACAGTCCACAGACGAAAATGATTAAGGATCTAGCGAGCAAAGTGCTGTTTGCTCTAAGTCTAAATTTCTTCAATGCGGTCTTCAATCGGATATCAGCCAGACTTCAGGAACTATCCAATAGTGGAGATGAGAATCCAGATTGCAGCGATATCGAGCTGATGCAATATATCAATGTCGACGTTCACAGACTGACTAGACTTCTGAATGGTAGGCACTGAATATTATAATGTGATATAAAATCAAATGTATTTTTAACATATTATACGCTTGTATCGTAATTCTCTTGCTATCATTGCAGAAACGATACAGAAAGTCCGGCAACTCAAGAAGTCGGCGCATCTCGTGCTCATGAGTTCCCTGGAGAAAGCGATCTGGAATTGGATGGATACTTATCCGCAAGAATTCGCCGATCTGCAGAAGCAGCCTAATGAGGATCTCAGTAAGGCGTGCGAGGAGCTGTTTGACATTCTCGACACGTTCGTCGACAAGAAGAGCCGCGCCGCGGCAGTGTGGCCATTGCAGATGATGCTGCTGATACTCTCTCCCAAAGTCCTGGAGGAGATCGTGAACGCCGACTCCGGGCCGCCAGGGTCACCTCGATACTCGAAAAAGAAACAATTCATCGACAGTGTGAAGCGCAGCCTGAGAATGCACGGCAGTTCCTCCAGCCGACAGCTGTCCGAGGCCGCGGCAGTTGCATGCGTCAAGCTCACCAAAGCGGCCACATATGTCAACAACGCGGAATCGAAAAATAACGTCATCCTGATTTTGGTACAGCAATTGATGGACGATCTAATGACGCTTCTCTTCCATCCTTCGAAACCATTCTCCCGTGGGCAGAATTACAACGCGCAGGATGTCGATCTGATGATTGACTCCTTTGTTAGCTCCTTCCGCATTAATCCGCGCAACAACGAGGTGTTTAAGTTTTGCCTGAATGTCAACTATCCGTCGACATACCAGTTCGTCCTGGTCAGCTCGTTATACAAGCAAGTGCAAAAAAATATTTTCTTCTCGCAGTGTCGTGTTTTCAGCAAATCTTACCAGTCCCATAATACCAATATTTCAGAATCTTCACGCAGCCAAGATTGCCATGGTGGCCAGAGATCAGTCTTGTGTATTCTTATGGCACAGACCTCAGGAACATGTTCACTGACACTCTGAACAAGGTTACGCAGAACTGCATATGGTACACACCACTACGCATGATTCATAATTTTGCTCTTAAACCTAAAGAGGAGATGGCCAATTCCAAGAATCTATTGTTGGTGATGGTGCGGCTCATTCATGTGGATCCCATGTTAATGCTGCATGTATGTTGTTTACAAATAAATATAAGATAATTGTTTAAGGCGCGTTGAAGAATAACTACATAAGGAATATATATATATATATACACATACACACAATATGCATAATATGTGCGTATGTGCGCGTACGTGTGCGTGCGTGCGTGTGCAGTTTATATAGACATATGTAAAATGTTCAAAGCCTGAATTAATTAAGCACTTTACAGAATTACGGCACAGCTGGTCACGAAATACAGAAATCCACTTTAGAATTGATTAATGGACTCGTCTCGTTAGTCCATCAACCCACGATGCCGGACATTGCCCATGAAGCAATGGAGGCTCTGCTAGTGTTACATCATCCAGATAAAGTCAAAGCGTGGAATCCTGAAGCGCCGTTGGACACTTTCTGGGACATCAGTTCGCAGGTCGTCTTCTCAATCTCGCAGAAATTGATTCAGCATCAAATCTTTAATTACACGATTATACGGAATGCCTTTCTTTCTCAGTATAAGGATTATGCAAATGTGGGCAGCCAGATAGCTATTAGTAAACAGGCGCATATTAAACTCGAGGTATATACTTTCATTCACTTGTAAAATTACACATGAAATTAAAAATTAATCCGCGAAATTTTTGCACAGGTCGTTTGTTTAACATATTTATGGAGTATAGACATAGAAGCTGTTTTAGTATCAATGTCTTGTTTCGCATTACTATGTGAGGAAGCTGAAATTCTTTGTGGCAGTGATGAGGTAGCAGTGACTTGTCTACTTCCGAATTATCAGTTGTATTTAGAATTGGCGCAAGCTTCGACTGTATTGATCTCTGGTGAGTTTGATTTGTTTTACGAGATTTCACGCTCGGAACAAATAGAAAAAAATGTGAAATAAATCTTTGAATCCATTTTTCTCTATTTTAATTAATAAAACTCTTATTCAGCTATAGTAAAGTATTAAAGATCTTGTTATCGTAATAGCCCACGGAGAGAGTAGGCTATGTTATCAGGAACATAATCACGGTGAGTTCTTATTTTTAATTATATATTGCCTTTATATTTGTATTTTATCATTATGTTTCTTTCTTCGATAATTTGTTAACTCTATTCTTGACGCTTGTGTATTTTAGGACGTGCTGCATTACAAAAGAGAATATTATCTTTATTGAGAAAAATAGAACATTGCGTGAATGGTATACAACCTGTACGTATAATTATTTTTTATTATGATATATTGTATTATGATATATAGTATTGCATAAAATATAATATATATTAATTAATTGTATATATCGAATATATTTAGTTTTATAATCTTTTAGAAATTAATAGAGAATGTTATATTTATATTTAGGCTTGGGAAGAGACATTCAGAAATTGGGAAGCGACCTCGCGGCAATTGTCCAATTATCCCAAGACCAAGACTGAGGACGTGCAAGTCGAATCATTTTGTCGCAGCAACGTGAAACGAAGGGCAGCGCATCAAAATTCGGAGCATGAAGTGGAGGAGCAAATTAACGAGTGGGCCAATATGACAGGATTTCTTTGCGCTTTGGGTGGAGTGTGCTTGCAATGTAGTTCGCCGAATAGACCGCCCTACGGTGTACTCCCTTTCAATCTCGAGCCTAAAAAGAGCTCAACAAAACAACAGGAGACTAGCTCCGGTTTAACGAATCCTAATCAAGAATCGCAATATTGCACAGTTACGCAATTTGTATTTAATTTACTACGATTATTGATTTGCAATAACGAAAAACTTGGCAATCAGATACAGAAGCACGTGAAGGAATTGGTCGCGCATGAGATGAGTCCTGCCTTGTATCCAATATTGTTTGATCAGATTAAAAATCTTGTCGAAAAGTTCTTTGACCAACGTGGACAAGTGATAGTATCAGATTTGAATACGCAGTTCATCGAGCACACTATATTTATAATGAAAAACATTCTGGACTCGAAGACGGATCAACCATCAGAATATCTTGGGATGACCAGCATCGAAGGCATGATGTTGGCAATTGTTAGATACGTCAGGCATTTGGACATGACAGTGCATTCGATTTGTATCAAAACCAAATTGTGTCAACTAGTCGAAGCCATGATGAAGAGACGGGATGACCTGGCGTTTAGGCAAGAGTTGAAATTTCGCAACAAACTGGTCGAATATTTGACCGAGTGGGTTATGTGCGCCCCTCCTTTTTCCTCGACAATTGCCAACGATATCACAGCCTATACTAGGTAAAACATTTACTGTCTTTTTATATACATCTAATTATTGTCTAATTTTTAATCTTGCGACTATCTATAATTATTGGATAACTTTATTCCAAATAAGAAATTACAATGAGCAAATCTATCATTTTAACTTTTCCACAGGGATTTGGATCAAGCTTGCATGGAAGCAGTAGGAGCTTTATTGCGCGGACTACCCCTTCAGCCTGAAGATTCTGATCGTGTCGACTTGATGGAAGCGAAGTCTGAATTATTCTCGAAATATTTCATGCTCTTTATGAATTTAATAAATTACTGCAACGAACCATCATCATCGGAGGATAAGGATGTCGTCTCTCGACAATCGCCTACTTTAGCGACTAGCAAGTTAGCCACTTTACGCAACACTACCATTCAAGCCATGAGTAATCTTCTCAGTGCAAATATAGACAGTGGTTTAAGGCACTCGATACGTACGCAAAATATCAAATCAATTCGTATGCTTTTAATTTAGGAGTTTTCTGGAGGAACGGCTCTCTTAAACATTCTTTTAAGAAACATTCTTATTTTTATTTTCATTTATCAATTTACGCCTTCCAGAGAACTCTCCAGTTGTCATAACTATCAGCTCTAATGATTAGTTCTTTCATGCTAAATGTTGATTTCTTTTCTTATTTAGATTTAGGTTACAACGCAGATCTTCAAACGCGTGCCGCATTTATGGAAGTGTTGACTAAAATACTTCAACAGGGAACGGAGTTTGATACCCTTGCTGAAACTGTTCTAGCGGACAGATATGAACAATTAGTTCAACTCGTTACAATGATCAGTGATAAAGGTGAATTACCTATCGCCATGGCATTGGCTAACGTAGTGACGACGAATCAAATGGATGAGCTGGCACGCGTTTTTGTGACACTATTTGATGCAAAGCACTTGTTGTCGCCTTTATTATGGAACATGCTCTATCGAGAGGTTGAGCTGACCGATTGTATACAGACTCTCTTTCGCGGTAATACTCTGGGAAGTAAGATTATGTCGTTCTGTTTTAAAATTTACGGCGCCAGCTATTTGCAAGGCCTTCTCGAACCTCTCATCAAACCTTTGCTAGACGAGCCAACAATCAATTTCGAAGTAGATAGCGCGAGGATTGATCCCAGTGAAAATATCGAGCAAAACGGTAGCAACTTGATTGCATTGACACAAAAGGTGTTCGATGCTATAGTGTCGTCGGCAGATATGTGAGTCGTCATTTGCTACAATTAATTATTACGAGTAAGACAACCCTCGAGTTCAAAATCTATTTTCCGTTAATTTTGTTAGGTTTCCTCCGCAGCTGCGCTCGATGTGTCACTGCCTGTATCAAGTATTGTGCAAAAGATTTCCGCAGTCACCGCAGAGCAACATTGTGGCTGTGGGAACGGTGATATTTCTGCGTTTCATCAATCCTGCCATCGTCTCGCCTCAAGAGACGGGTATAGTAGATAAGCCAGTACCGCCGCAAGTGAAACGAGGTCTCATGCTTATGTCGAAGATACTGCAAAACATCGCCAATCACGTAGAGTTCAGCAAGGAACAACACATGCTGCCGTTCAATGACTTTCTACGTGCGCACTTTGAAATCGGTCGACGATTCATCATACAGATAGCATCGGATTGCGAAACAGTTGATCAGACCAGTCATCCTATGTCATTTGTATCGGATGCCAATGTCTTAGCCCTTCACAGGTTGTTGTGGAATCATCAGGAGAAAATCGGAGATTATCTTAGCAGCAGTAGAGACCACAAAGCTGTCGGAAGAAGACCCTTTGACAAAATGGCCACATTATTAGCATACCTTGGTCCACCCGAACATAAACCAGTGGATTCGCAGTGAGTTATATTGTATTTCCTCATTTCGTTTATATCATCGCAGCGACTAATTTAAGTTGCGAATTAATTATACATTTCAATTTCAGTTCGCTTTTTTCGTCTTCTTACGTTCGTATGTCTCGATGGGCAAGCAAAGACATGTCCTCGACTAATTTCGAGGAGATCATGATGAAACATAATATGCACGAAAGAGAGGACTTTAAGAGCATCCAGAGTATGAATATCTTTTACCAAGCAGGCACTAGCAAACAGAGTTATCCAGTGTTTTACTATATTGCACGTCGATTCAAGTAAGCATTTTATTTTGCAAAGAGGTAAAGATGTAACGAAGTTTAAGTTAAGTTGATGTTTTTAAAACAGTGCAAACTTTGATTTTTAGACTCGGCGAAACAAACGGCGACTTGCTGATATATCATGTAATCCTGACTCTAAAACCCTTCTATCATTCTCCATATGATGTGGTCGTCGATCTTACTCATACGTGTTCGGATAATCGGTTTAGAACGGAGTTTTTGCAAAAATGGTTCTATGTTCTACCAGAAGCAGCCTACGAAAACCTTCACGCAGTATATATTTACAATTGTAATACCTGGGTACGCGAATACACAAAGTATCACGACAGCATCCTGGCGCCGTTGAAAGGTAATCGAAAGATAATTTTTATCGACGGTCAAGGAAAATTGAACGACGCGATCGACATCGAACAACAGAAATTACCTGGAGCAACATTGTCTCTGGACGAAGATTTGAAGGTTTTTACCGGTGTCTTGAAATTATCCCACAAGGAGATGAAGGTATCCGTGAAGCTCGGACCGACGACCTTGCAAATAACTCACACGGACAGATCTAAAGTGTTGTCGCAATATGTTCTCTTAAACGATGTGTATTACGCTTCTGAAATAGAGGAGGTTTGCCTATTGGACGACAATCAATTCACGCTAACTATCTCCAACGAGGCGGGACCGTTGACTTTTGCCCACAACGATTGCGATAACATCGTACAGGCTATAATCCACATCAGAAATCGTTGGGTGTTGTCACAACCCGACTCCATGTCAGTTCATTCGAAAATCAGGCCTAAAGACGTACCGGGAACCTTGTTGAACATGGCCTTATTGAATCTCGGTAGCCCGGACCCGAATCTTCGGACTGCAGCCTACAATCATCTATGCGCACTTACGGCGACGTTCGGCTTAAAAATAGAAGGTCAACTGTTGGAGACGTCCGGTATATGCATACCGTCGAACAATACCATATTTATCAAGCATTTGAGCGAGACCTTGGCGGCGAATGATCCGCATCTTACACTCGAATTTCTGAAAGAGTGCATGCAGGGCTTCAGGGAGTCGACTATCGAACTAAAGCATTTATGTCTCGAATATATGACGCCGTGGTTGAGCAATCTCGTGCGATTCTATAAGCCGCACGACGAGGGCGGCAAGCGACAGAAGCAAGTCATGGAAATTCTCGATGATTTAATCACGCTGACCGTGCAAGAGATTGAAATGTATCCGAGCATACAGGCCAAGATTTGGAGCACGATTGGCATGCTGCCAGAACTGATAGATGTTGTCCTCGATATTTTTCTGCAACGTAGCGCGCGATACGGCTTAGGCTCACCGATGGCAGAGGTTATGGCGGATACTGCGGTCGCCTTGGCGTCCGGCAATGTGCAGCTGGTAGCCAAGAAGTTAATTAGCAAAGTATGTCGAATAGTAGACAAGACTTGCATGTCGCCGACGTCTCAACTAGAACAACATATAATGTGGAGTGACATAGCGATTCTCGCGAGGTATCTCCTGATGTTGTCCTTTAATAATTGTCTGGATGTAGGGAA